GTTATGTATTTTTAGTCTTCACTGAATTTTTCTCTCACCTAAACTTTCATAAGTCAGGCAAACCCTTTAAACTATTGGATTTGAGAAACACAAGTAGAGTTGGCTGAGCCCTCCAGGAGCAGAGATTTGATTAGAACTGTAGTGCCAATGCCACGCTCAGTGTGGCTAGATGGGGAGGGAGACTTCCTCTGTGTATTCTTCTAGTTTATCCATCCATTCTGTGGGTGTGACCTCACACCTCTTACCTGCTAGGCACACATAAAATGGTGAGAAGATAAGCAGTTCCTGTTGGCAGGAGTGGAGCTCAGAGCCAGACAGGTGTAGAAGCCTGTTTTCCCTGTACAGACCAAAAAGTAATGCAGGATTTCGTCCAAGAATTTCCTCCAAGATTAAAGAAGACTCGAGTCAGTTACACTGCTGGTCTCCTGAAGCACAGGAACTAAAAGCCATCTGGTGGAATCGAGTTTGGCAAGTGCAGACATCTCTGGTTATACACACGTGTGAGGGGGCTTGTTATAGAACACTGGCATCTGGGAGAAAGTCCTGCATGTAAATGTTTCAGCATTTTTTTCTTGGAGATTTCCTCAGATCTTATGTTATATCCTCTTGAAAATGTAAGGAGTTTAGATATTCTTAAGTCACACTTGTTTCTCTAGTATGTTTCCTATTTTATTTTCCTATATTTCCTGTCATTTTCTGTCTCTGTCTTTATCTGTCTCTGTCTTCCTTTCTCTTTTTCTTTCACTTACACATATGCACATACATATTCACAGAATATCCACTGAATAATAAAATCTAAAGGTGGAAACCCTTAAAGACTCTCAGAAAACTCAATTTGTTCTGTCACACATTAAAATGCTTTGATTTGTTGATGTTTGTGTGTGTGTGTGTGGGGGGGGGGGTAATGTTACTGGGACTTGAACTTAGGGTCTGGGCACTATCCCTCAGCTTTTTTGTGTGCAAGATTGGCACTCTACTTAAACCACAATTCTACTTTTGACTGGTTGTTAATCAGAAATAAGAGTCAGAGACTTTCCTGCTGAAACATGAGCCTCAGATCTCAGCCTCCTGAGTAGCTAGGATTACAGGTGTGAGCCATCAGCACCTGGCTTCATTTAGTTGTGTGGTTTTTTTTTTTGAGAATTTGTATTGCTGTTCATTTTGTATATTTTTAAACTGATAATTATTAGTTTACAGTAAATAAGCATCATCTATGTGGATAGGAGTGTATATTGACAAACTTACAAAGATATGTTTTTCCTTCATTAAAATCTATTGAAAAAACAAGGGCAGGTTTTTACTGTCCATATTTCATAAGTCAAAGGTACACAGTTCCCCAATTTCATGGAAGGTGGCCAATGGTGGAGCCATGGCTCCTTCCTGCTGCTGCCCTGCCTTCCTCTGGCCATTGGGTATGTATAATGTGTGTGAGTGAGAGTACCATCCTCTTTGCCTCCACTCCCTTCCCTTTCCTATGCTCCCTAGAGAGAAAGCACATGGCATTGATGGGCCAGATGTACATTTATTTTCAATAAGACTTCCACCCAGGTTCTCAACCTTTTTACTCTCTGTGCTAGCTAGATTAAAAAGTGGAAAGATTTCAAAGATGACTTAATCTAGGGATGAAACTTATGTTTCATTCCTTCAAGAGGGGAATGGATGTGAGAGGTTGGGATTTGGGTAATTGTTGATCAAACTCTGTATTTTCTTGGACAGGTGCCTGGTGTCATTCTAACTGTCCAATTCCATGTTCCATGGCCTGGTGGGAAATGAAAATCATAGTTGTTTCACCCGTGTGCCCACAAATCAGAAATACAGTTGCAGAAGAAAACCCCAAGGAGAAATACTGTATTATTGTAGGATGTAGGTGGCCTGCAGTAGATGCATGCTTCAATTTGTGAACACGAAGGCATGATGCAATTAGATTCTCCTCTGCTGTTTGGACTCTGAGAATCAGAAAGCTGAAAATGCAGTCTGATGAATGCATTGTACTGGCCACCCAGATTCACAGATGGCATTGTAGCAGTGATATGGTTTTCTAAAATAAACATATATTAGTATAATTCCAAACAACAAAAAAGAAGGGAAACCTAATTCCTTTGATTCATCTTGTAGCAGTACTGGGAAATTTTGGTCTATATTAAAACCACATAAAATAACTGAAGGCGTATATAAAGCAATGTTATAATTTAGGCTCAGATGGTTATAAATGGCCTTGTGACAACACAGATGGCCAACAGAATATTAAAAGGTCACACAAGACAACAGTTGTGGGATGCAGGTCAGTTCTTTTCTCCTGCAGGACTGTTCTGGAGGTTGCTGCAAGGGTCCTTTAAATTAGGGTGATGACCAAAATTACCCCTGTAAATTTAAATTTAGTCAACATATTCTAAGGAGCTGGGGTTGTAGTGCAGTGACAGAGCATTTGCTTAACATGTACAAGGCCCTAGGTTTGATCCTCAGCACTGCCAAAAACAATTCTAGATGAAATTTGTATGGGAAGTCTACAGTAACTACTTCAGAAAATGCAGAAACCTAAGGATCCCTCGAGAACACGCACTTCCTAGTTGTCAAGCCAGAAGCTTACAGTCCTAGGGGTTCCTCTTCTGGGGAGGCTGGAGTTGGGGCGGGGTTGGGCCAGGAGAGAGAAGACAGCTCCTCCGCCCCTCTACCAAGGCTGTGGTAGGGCTTCTGCCTTCATTTTGCCTCTGCCTGCCTGTCCTACCTGTTGTGTTTTTCTGTGTACTGTCTCTAGTCTCCATAGTAGCCTCCCTAGGCTACATTCTAAAGGAGTTGCAGAAGCAGACAGGGAAAGTTAAAAAAACTGATAGACAATTTTGTGTGTGTAGTAAAGTACATGCAGTTTATCATGTGAAAGTTCTTTGTAGTAGACATATTTATTTATTTATTTATTTTTTGGTCAGTCATGGGGCTTGAACTCTGGGCTTGGGTACTGTCCCTCAGCTCTTCAGCTCAAGGCGAGCGCTCTACTGCTTGAGACACAGCGCCACTTCCGTTTTTCTAGTGGTTTATTGGAGATGAATCTCACGGACTTTCCTGCCTGGATTGGGTTTGAACTGCAATCCTCAGATCTCAGCCTCCTGAGTAGCTAGGATTACAGGTGTGGACCACCGGCTGATTTTGTAAATGTGTGACAATTATTTTGGTATGTGAATAAAAATATTTTTTTTTTTTGGGTCTGGTCGTGGGGCCTGAACTCTGGGCCTGGGCGCTGTCCTTCAGCTCTTCAGCTCAAGGCTAGCGCTCTACCACTTGAGCCACAGCGCCACTTCCGGCTTTTTTCTTTTTGCTTATGTGGTGCTGAGGAATCGAACCCAGGGCCTCAGGGATGCAAGGCAAGCACTCTACCACTGAGCTACCTTCCCAGCCCACATAAAAATAATTTTATGCCTTAATCAATTTGGAGGGATATACTTTTTCTATAAGCCATACTATTTTAATACTGGGACTTTTGAATGAATTATTTCACAAAGGTAGTCTTTAATGATAGTGAAGGTGGATATGGAAAAATGTACAATTTCAGGAATTATTATTTTCACTTTAGCATCTTTCTTAGGCAGTATTTTGGTGCTAGGTTCAAATACTCCAACTTTGCTTTAGGGATTAAAAGCCTGTGGGACTAAAAGCAAAGTCAACAGTTTCTCTAAATCTTACTGTAAAGTTTCCTCATCAGTTATATGAAGATTCTGGTATTACATATGAACCAGTATGGTAGTCAAGATTAATGTAAAACATCTGACACTATTTTTCCCCACATGTATTCTGCTACTGATAAAAATTCCATATTTACATGATCTGAGGGTTTCCTTGGTGCTAATATTACTGGTTACTGTTTTAAAAGTATTAAAGATGCTAGCTCCATGGCATTTGCCACCTGAATGTACAGTTAATGCACGATTCCTTTCTTACACAATGTGACCCATAATTTTACCTACTTCTGTCAACAAAGGAAGTTTGAATAAACACTCAAACCATTTCACTTGAGATAACTGTGCTAGTAAACTCAAGAAGCCTTGAGCCCAATGGAGTCGGGCTGTGGACAGAGGGTGGGTTTGTCAGCAGAGCGGTGCCAGTGCTAACCTGGAATTGAGTTATCAGTGTTCAGGTCTGCACATCTTGGATAATAGGTTAAATAAAATTTGTCAAGACTACAAATACCAAATCTGTAACATTCAAGGGTATACTTTCCTTTACCCTTCACCTAAAAATGAATTTGGTAACCATGAGCATTTTTTGTTTTGTTTCTTGATGTTTTCATTTTTAAAATCATGCTAGGTCTGGGCATACATTGCCTTTTCTTTCTCTAGTAGTATTGCTTTAGAATTAATCACTGAAAGTAGAATTATTCTTTTAAAGGACATAAACTTTTAAAGCACTTCGTGTAATTATCAAATCATTTTTAGATTATTATCTAGAATTATACCGTTCTGATTAAATAATTTCAGCTACCTATAGCCAAGAATTTTTACTTTATTTATCTTGTTGGTACTGGGGCTTGAGCTGATGTTTTCTAACACTTGAGCCACACTCTCGACCTTTGTACTCTTTAACTTTTTATCCTAGGGTTTCAGTTTTGCCTGGAGCAAGCCTCAGACTTCAATCTACATTACTGGAATTATAGTTGTGACCATCATGTTTGGCTTGTTTTTGAGATCAGGTTTCACTAACTTATTTCATTGGACTAGCCACTAACTTTGATCAATTCTCTCATCTTCTCCTCCTGAGTAACTGGAGTTACAGACCCTAACCAGAGATTTATATGGAAAGTGTTCAGGGAAAATTAATTTAATAGGAAAAACATGGATATATTAGTGAATTTAAGCATTTAATTTTCATGTGTTTTTAGTTCCTCATGTATTTTTTGTTTATATTGTTCTGTACTTAAAGTATGATATTGCTTATTAATTTGAACCTTTTCTGGGTTTGGGAAAAATTAGGTGTTTTAATTCTAATCTTTTTATTCTGCTTTTTTCTTTTAGCTCCAGTGATAAACCGATTCACAAGGCGTGCCTCCGGTAAGTGTAACTGCATGACAGCATCTTACTGATAGTTATGCTGGACAAGAAGGAACAGAGAGAGTTGTTGTAGAATAGTAACTTACTTGTTGATCTCTTTCTCAGAATAAAGGCCTGTTGTGTATTCCTAGGTTAGCACTTGATTGCAGATGCCCTCTAAGTGGCTGTGGTTGAGTCACACAAGGTGATGTGGGACTCTCACTCCAGTGTTTCTTCCTATTTTCAAGAAAAAGTTACTGGCTTTCAAGAAAGAGTTATCTGATTAACCAACCAAATTCAGAAACAATGATTAGCAGGTAGGTGCTGGAGACTAGAAACAGTGATAGGAGGATGAATTTATCTAAGGGCAGGAAAACTCTCAGATTTAAGAACTCATATCTATGGGGCTGTTTAGAATAGGAGCAAATGGCTTCAACTTTTGACTCCCCAGAAGCCATTGCTATGTTAAATATACCCTACTAACCTACTGTGTGGTGGGAGAAAGCTCTGTAACTGGTGCTTCAAGTAGCTTTCCTGGACCAAGTCTCACTGTACTGCCAGGGCAGTATCGTTGAGAGCATTTCTGTCTAGAATAACTTCAGCAAACTGAGTTTGGACACTGAAACGGGTAAACTGTTATTGGAAAATTTACTCTGTGGTTTCTTCTCCTCTGAAGGTAGAGGACAAATCAAGTTATATTTGTTTGAGAAAGTTTTAGTTTGTTTTAAATGTAAGTAGAATTGTGTTGAAAACACAAGATTAATGTTTGGAACAGATCATTCTTGACATGAATAACTTATTTTATAAAACCTCCTGATGGGGCTGGGAAGGTGGCTCAGTGGTAGAGCTCTTGCCTTGCATGCATGAGGCCCTGGGTTCGATTCCTCAGCACCACATAAGCAAAAAGACAAAAAGCTGGAAGTGGCGTTGTGGCTCAAGTGGTAGATCGCTAGCCTTGAGCTGAAGAGCTGAAGGACAGTGCCCAGGCCCAGAGTTCCAGCCCCACAACCAGACCCAAAAATAAAATAAGATAAAATAAAACCTCCTGATTTCCACCTGTGCTAAAATATGAGAGATGCTTTCAGGTTGACTTTTGTTTTTTGTCAGCAGGCACTGGCATGATTTCTTCTTGCTGTGTAGTGGCTAGGTATACATTGATGGGAATTAGGAATGTGTTGTGTGGGCAAGGCATCTACTTTGCCATTTTGAGCTTTATTATCTTGAAACATATTTGCATTTTAAAGGATGAAAATAAGCTCTAGCTTTTGATGCCTTTTGTAGAGTCAGGTTATGTTTATATGTCAGTAAAGCATGAAATTTGATCTAAAGCAGAGCTTTGGATGAAAATTGTGACCTTGCTGGGCATCATTGGCTCACACCTGTAATCCTGGCTACTGAGGAGGCTGAGATCTGAGGATCATAGTTTGAAAACCAGCCCAGGCAGGGAAATTGTGTGACTCTTATCTCTTGTTAGCTACTAAAACAAACAAACAAACAAAAAAAAAAAAACAAAAAACAAACAGAAGTAGAGCTGTGGTTTAAGTAGTATAGCACTAGCTTTGGGACAGTTTCCAGGCCCATAATTCAAGCCCCAGGGAAGGGCATGAAAGAAAGAGAAAGAAAGAAAGAAAGAAAGAAAGAAAGAAAGAAAGAAAGAAAGAAAGAAAGAAAGAAAGAAAGAAAGAAAGAAAGAGAAAGAGAGAGAGAGAGAAAGAGAGAAAGAAAGAAAGGAAGGAAAAGAAAAATTGTGCCCTTTCTGCACAGTGGTGACAGCTAGCAAGGAGGATCACTGTGGTATATCTTGTCTTTATGATATGACTTTCTTTCAGTGGAAACATAAGTAACAGACTTAGAATGAGAAATCGCCCTTCCTGCCTCAAACTATGATATGTGACATTTATTTCTGGGTAAGCTCCATTAATACTTATTATACAATGTATTTATCATTAATCGATGGATCAGGGGCACAATATGTAGGTTAAGTTAGTCATGAAGCACTATAATTTTAAACCTTCCAAATGTGTTTCCACTATATTTCAGCAAGAGTTGGGAGCAAATATAGAAAGAGGGTGGAATGTTAAAAGCAGATCTTGCATTTGTTCTCCCAATGACAGACTAGTAGAAATAACACAGCAGGAAAGAATTCAGTGTAAATAGTACCAAGTTATATTCATGTTTTATTCAACAATTAGCTTTAAAAGGGGTAAAGGTGTTACCCCAATAATATAATATACTGGACATGATTGTGAGGATGATTTTGATTATTAGAAGGAAAAGAACTAATTTTGTCGAATACCTCTAATTGGTTAGGCCTGTATATTTTTCCATCTTTTGGGGCCAAGAAAACGAAATTGTATCTTGTGCTTTGGACAAGAGAACAGTGATTTTTAAGGAAGAAAAAGTGGGATTTGTTAAATTAAATACATACCTATTTATTTTATTTAATTTTGACTGTGTGTGTGTGTGTGTGTGTGTGTGTGTGTGTGTGTGTGTGTGTGTGTGTGTGTGTGTGTGTGTGTGTGTGTGTGTGTGTGTGTGTGTGTGTGTGTGTGTGTGTGTGTGTGTGTCCTGGGGCTTGAACTCAGGGCTTCAGCAAACTCATGCTTAAGGATAGAGTTCTACCTCTTGAGCCACAACTCTACTTCTAGCTTTATAGTGGTTAGTTAGAGATAATAGTCTCACAGACTTTTCTGCCTAGGCTGGCTTTGCATTGCAATCCTCAGATCTCAGCCTCCTGAGTAGCTAGGATTATAGGAGTGAGCCACCAGTGCCCAGCTGACTTTGTTATTTTAATTCTTTTTTTGGGGGGGGGGGGGGTCCCGTCGTGGGGCCTGAACTCTGGGCCTGGGCACTGTCCCTCAGCTCTTCAGCTCAAGGCTAGTGCTCTACCACTTGAGCCACAACGCCACTTCTGGCTTTTTTTTTCCTTTTGCTTATGTGGTGCTGAGGAATTGAACCAAGGGCCTCATGTGTGCAAGGCAAGCGCTCTACCACTGAGCCACCTTCCCAGCCCCTGTTATTTTAATTCTTATAAAATTTATCTGATTTTTTTCTGGCAAAGAACATAAATGGAGTTAAGACATTTTAAGGAGGAAATTCTACAACTCTTACTAATTTAAGTGACTGAAAAGGAGGTTTAGTGAAGGATATCAATATGAACTTCATTAAAGTAGCATTGCCTGAAAATAAAAAGTAAATGATTGTTTACTCAAATATAGTAGAGAAAAAATCATACATGATCATCAGAACCACCTCTGAAGATATCTTCTTTGATAGTTTTATATCAGAAATTCTTTTTTCAGAATTCAAGTATAAACTTTCATATTAGAACTGAATTTAGGGGAAGAAAACAGAATTTGATGCCTGACAGTTTCTTACTCATCTGTTGTAAAGTTATAATTCCAAAAATAAATGCTACATTATAATTTAACATATAATCTAATATGCCATATTTTGTAATGATACGTACATAATATGTGCTGATTCACTGAAAGAGTTGATAGGAGGTACAATATATTTCTCATGTTCCAAATGAATTTCTTTTATCTTTGAGTTTGGGGCTTTTGCTATTTATGCTACATCTATTAAAAATAAAATGTTAAACGGGTAAGTTTTACTCAGCGTTTTAGAAGCTAATTATTCAGGGTAAAGGCTTGTGGTAGAGGGAGTAGTAGAAACAAAGGCATGGATAACTTATGGGTCAGGTTAGGCTTTGTAAGTACTACAGAACCTGAAGTATTTGTAACTGGCAGATGATACCTGGCAACCTATAATATATTGTATGGCGGTACCTTCCTACTTTAAACAGCACCAGTAATCCATTGTGGAAAGAAAAAGCCTGCTTTTGATCTTAAAACAAAAGGAAGTGTAGCTGTGGCTCAAAGTGGTAGGGCATTGGCCTTGAGCAAAAGAGGTCAGGGGCAGTGCCCAGACTCTGAATTCAAGCCCCATGACCAAACAACAACAATAAACAAAACAAGAAAAAGTTTTCACCGTAGAGGTCTTTCACTTCTTTAGTTAATTCCTAGGTATTTTATTTTTTGTGGGGCAATACCAAAAGGAGTTGCTTTCCTGATTTCAGCCGTGCTCTTCTCATTGTTGGCATACAGAAAAGCCATTGATTTTTGAAGGTTAATTTTATACCCTGCTACTTTGCCAAAGTTTTGAATCAGCTGGAGTAATTTAGGAGTGGAGTCCTTGGGATTCTTTAAATACAAGATCATGTCATCTACAAAGAAGGGAGAGTTTTCCTTCATCTTTCCCTATTTAGATCCCCTTTATGTTTGCATCTTGTCTCATTGCTGTAGCTAGGCATTCTAATACTAAATGGGAGAGAAGTGGAGAGAGTGGACATCCGTGTCTCGTTCCTGAGTTTAGAGGAAATGGCTTTAGTTTTTCACCATTAAGTATAATGCTGGCTGTAGGTTTGTCATATACAGCCTTTAAAACACAATACTTTAAGGCTCTAGTAATCACTACTTTAAACTACAGAGAAATCATAGATACCTATATACATATAATCATATATATCTACTTATTTGACTCATTGAGTTTACCTTTGTTTATCAATGCTAAGGATTGAATTTAGGACCTTGAGCTTGCTACTACTTGAGCTACTTCCCCGCTGCCCCTTTTGCTTTTAGTCTGTTTTTTTAGACAGGATCTCTCATTAACTTTGAACTGGGATCCTTATGTCTTTATCAGTTGGGTATCTTCTTCTTTTTCAACTTTGGGATCTTAACAGGAATATCTAAGCTTATTGTTAGTGTTAAAATAAATGGTTTTAATAAAACCCTCAACAGAATGTGTAGTCTTAAAGGTGTTAGTGCTTGGCTCTCCTTAAACATGATTTAAAGCAAAACAATAAAACCCTCAGCTTTTTGTGCCTTAGTCTATTAGAAAAAAAGCATTAGAGGCTCTTAACACCATTTGATATCAGTCTTTAATAAAGGGACCATTTTATTGTTGGTACATCATAGATTTTAAAAAGATTATAATGGCTTTTCTCTGGTTTTGTTTCT